TAACCTATAGAAACTTAAAAATCGATCGTTATGAATGTCATGTTCGTCATTTTGCTGAGCTCTGATTGATTGCAAGGTTGGTCATTTGACTGAGATTCGAATCTCCACTACGCGGATGCTAGTAACACATCTGCCTTTTTTGTATACGAGATCATTTACCTACAACTATAAAATTAAACCCGCAAAATTCGTACAAAAATCCATTTTTTTACCGCCATTATATTTGAATTATTTACTGAGCATTGGCTATAGAGCCATCAGCTTAAATAAATAAAAAACTTAAAACGCAATAAAACGTAATCTAAAAATTGTAAGACCAAAACCCGCCATATTTTTTCCCCATTATATTTGAATAAAAATGGCGTACAGTCAGGCCGTGCGCTCGTTTTGTCAACGCAGTGCATGTTTTTCTGATTTCCGTTTCAAAATTTCGAAAAATAATATTTAAAAGTACTTAAGCGTTATTTATAAATTTTTTGCTTTCCCGCTTTTTAGTAACAACCATTAAATTATATAATTTCCTTGCATTTAACATTTAACTTGAGAAAAACTCCGACGCCAAAGACGCTTTCCAAGAAAGCGCGCATTTGTCGCCGTTGAATATATTCATTGATTGCGTAGTTTTAAGTTGTTCTCTTGCACACTTTTTGAATTTGGCCCAAATTGCGTTGGTTCAAGAAGTCTACTTGCCCCCTTAGAACAAACACGCTTCTTTTGAAAAGATAGACCCTCTGGAAGTGTGCAAAGGATTTTTATTAAGTCTGAATTAAGCAGCTTGTTCTAAAATAGATTTTTGAAGGGAAAATTCTACCTATTTTTACCAACAACTTTTATTGTTCTATATGAACCCTTGTATGACCTACTGTTAGGCACGTCTCGTAAATACTTTCATTAAGTTGCATTTTGCGTATTAACTTTTAGACAATACAAATTTAAACTATGTAAAAGAAGCAAGGTTCAATTTTTAATATAAAGTTGTTTCAATTTGGGAGGTGGAATCAAACTTAACCAAGTTACATTGTAGACTGTATAATGTGTCAGAGTCATACAATTTGCAAAGTTGAAGCAAGTTCGCTATCCGGGCGTTCTGCCGGAGGCCTGCAGTGACAAACGCTCCGGCAAGAACGGGTCCGGCGTAATGTGAACAGCTTCATATAAATTGTACAGCCACTAACCATTCCGGCAGTTTTACCGACCCGGCAAATTCGCCGGACTGCGGAATCTTAATGGAAGCTAATAAAGCAGGTCGCGCGTCTTATCTAGTTTGTACATTACACAATTGACAAACATTTGCTTCCTTTCTATTCCGCAGCTATGTAAATTGAGTCTTCTAAGCATACTGATAAATGTATGGGGCGTACCTGTATAGTGTGATAAAAATATATGCACAAGCACCTTTATGTACATAAGCTAGAAAATATGGACTCGAAATTTATAAGAAACGTTGGCTTGTAAAATTTAAGTTAAAAGTTACTTCTCGAAAATAGAGACAGTATAATCGATTTTTGACAAGACCTCGTGCAGCATGCTCATAGCACTAAGAGAATAGAAGCTAATCGTCTAACCTGGTAGTTGCCTGTAAAATTGAATGCAGTAAGATACCCTCATATATCTCGTACACCTCCCCGAATCGCGCCAATTTATTCTTCTTTATCCTGGTAATTTTTTAAGAATATTCCCAGTGCGGTCGACACAACAATTATACACGAAACCTAATACTGTCATAACTAAAAAATGGTGCAATAAAAAAATACTGAATGGATCTAATTGCTATTAATGGGATTATTTTAATTTATACATAATATTTAGTTATCTACTTATAAACGAGGACATTGTTAGTATCATTCAGTAATTTTTTTAACCTTCAAATCGTGTTTGCTCAATTCCACCACTTTTGAGTTACGACAGTATTTGGTTTCATGAGAGACATGTATGCAGATGACAACCTTCCCCTAAGCTCCAGTAAAATTAATACACCAGTGTTTTTTGTAATTGACATGTAATTAAGTGCCATTTCACACAAGCAATTTTGCAGCATTCGCGTAAACCAAATCGGAAATTAATATCAGTTCTGGACATCTGTCCCTTTCGTTTTTTAGTGAGAAAGGGATTGAAGATTTAAATTTAGTACACAGGCTGTCAATTAATCGATGAATAAACTCGATAAGTTGTTGTCGACATTTTGATATAAACTAAAAACATTCATGACAATGACAAAGACACAAATTAAATTCAATTTATATTACTCAATCACAACTTTTGTTTATTAAAAAAAAAAAGACATTTAATTGACTGCGTTAAAACAAAATTGTTTGTCAGAGTTGGTGATAAGTGCGTGGTACCTTTTTACTCCATAGTGTAAGTTTACCTGTCTCTATAAAACGACGTGTTGGTCTGTCAATAGATGCCTTTGTAATATAGCTAAAATAACTCTTAACTGTAGATTTTATAATGCTATTTGGAAATGTAGGAATATATTTTGTTTCATAGCAAATGCTAGAGATAGATATTTTACATGTATTGTTAAAGTGATTTTTTTTGTCGGGTTTCTTATAAGGGGCACGTCACACGGCTTGATGTTACGAGTTTTGGTGCTGCGATAGGCGCAGTGTACGTGTAAATTACGCGATCTATTGAACCAGTTCATTTTTTGTTTCACAATTTTTAGAGGGTATTTCACGACTAAATCCCTTAAAAGAACTGTCCTTTATTTTTAATCGAGACGGTATGGAATCGTTGGAATTTTTCTTCCTAAAAATTGTGAAATAAAAAATTACACTGTCTTGTAAAGATTAAGTTGTAAAAGTCCGCTTCATACTTTTCACATGTCTTGCGCCTACTAAGTAACCTTGTCAATGTTAGGAAGATATAAATTTCATCTTCCGTTAAAAAAAGGATTTTTGAACAGCCTGTACATTTCTAAAACAATGTAGATAAGGTTTTATTTCATGTCTGTTGTAGACGAAGAGATAATTTTTTGTTTAGATTGAACAAAAAAAGAAGGGTAATTTAATTTTTCAAGATGGCGCCCGCGCCGTGGTTTCATTGAAAATTATGTAATCTCGAAATAAAATTTTAAAATTTGACTTGAGTTTTTCAATTCGTTTTATTTCCTTCACGCTTAAATGTTTCAGTAATACACTGCCCACAACGAGGTCGGGGGTCAGTCTACACATCAAAAACAACGGAACCCAGGAACGGAATTGTTAAAAAAAAATTTATTAAATCGTTCATATTTTATTCAAGCATTTCTAACACAATAATTATTTTAATAATTCATATAAAGCCACATAATTTAAGAGGTACTTCAATTCTGATTTCTCTCGCATTTATAATAAATTAACTATACTCCGTCCATTTATTTCATTTTTGACAGATCGAATTCTAATCAATTAGTGATGTCCTAATGCGTTTCCGGTTCGATTTTTTTATGACAATCGATTTTATTTATGAAGAAGTTTTAATCGTGAATGTGAGCGGGTTTCAAAAAGAAGATATTGTCTGATTGAAATCGTGATGTCGCGTTTGACAATTTGTGTACTCAAGAATTAATAATTAATGTTAATAAGGATTCAAGTGATGATTTCCGTTCATATAGAGAAGAATCAGACTATTCTTTATAATAAGCAGTAAGAATTTATTATAGTTCTTTATAATTTATTAGACAGGTACCAAAATTTTACAAATTGAATAATCTTCGTCACAATCTGTTGGCTCGATAAATATCGGAGCTAAAGAGCACGTCGGTTCACTAAAATTTAAATTTTTTTTTTCTATGGTTGTATAACAATAATTACGCAACTTCGGAGGCATGCATGTCCAATAAAATAAATGGTTGCACGGAGTATAACAAGTTATAATTGTATCGTCGCCATGTTGCGGATTTTTACAGAACTACTTTCTGGTAATGACCCCGTTAAAGGGGTATCTATTCTCGTTCTCCGTCCAAAACAATTACTGTCAAGTAATTACTTGATCAATTCATAAGACGCATGGTACCACAGACATATCTAGATACACGCAAGTACAGCATTATTTGTATGAAAACCGAGCGTGCCACATTTTTTGTATCCACTATGACGTCACAATAACTATTTAGTGATGGGAAACCTTCCGCCTTTCTCCACGATTCTCGTAAGAGCTTCCTATTCGTCAATTATAAGTTGACAACTCTTATTGGCAATTACTGGACTATGCAAGCATTTGTATTTAGGAGGGCTATTGTTTGTCTGTTGGTGTACACACAAAATATACACAGAATGCGAATGGTACGTACGTGTTCGTCTTTGAAAGGTCTTTTATTAATTCTCACCATAGACAATATATGCCTGTGCATGATACGAATGAAGCTTCATACTTGACATTGTCATTTGATAAAGTCGAGTATTACTTATTTGACGGTAATTGTTTCGGACAGATCGGACAGAGAATGAGAATACGGAGGGCCAGGGCCCAGAAAGTACTCGCCAGTTTTCACATTTTTTTAAAATACATTATCAACTAAAGTGCCACTTAATATCTTAAAGCTATGAGGTGTAAATATTAAATTAAATCTTATGATTAGATTCAAAACTTAGGCAGACTTTTGTCGTAGGTATTCACTCGTCTCGTAAAGTTCCTATTTCATGTCATTAAACCCTGAACGTAACCACTATGAATTTTATGACATATTTTTAATTCTATTTAAATTCCCAAGCTTAAACTTTAACACCTTTAATTTCTAAACGCAAAATATGGCGCATGGCTGTGTTGCAGCCAAGCCCAAGCTCTTTCTCAATCGTGGCAACAACGCCAAGTTTTTTTATGGTATAAGCAGAGTACGAAGTACACGTACATAATGGCATTATCATACTATTAAACTCAAAAAACACAAACCAAATAGTTTTTCCAAAGATTGTCATGTTAATTTAATTTTCTCACTGTTTGTCAACTTTAATAAAAAATTAAAGAGATAAATTAAAATTTGTGGACTATAATTACAACTTTTCATTTAAAAAAAACCGACTTCAAAAGTTCATGGATAAATCGTACCTTTGGTTATAATTAAGCCACATGCGATCGTCTGTGTGAAGTGCTTTTAACACATGAGAGTTGTCTAGCACAGACATAGCAACGTTGTCCGCGAACCGCACAGGTCGTGGCCAATAAAATTAAAAAAAAAAAATAATCTACAGAGTAGATACTTAAACTAACTGACCTCAAAAATTCACAGTTTTAAAGAAATTGGTTATCAGCAAGTGCGCGAAACAGGATACACCCTTAGTTAGTCACCCTTAGAGGTGGAATAATTAAATAGGTTTACAAATTCACATTCCGGAGTTATCGCCTAACATACATATAAAAAAATCGAACTTAGAACCTCCCTTTTTGAAGTCGGTTAATAAAACTATGGATCAGCAGGGATCATTATCGGATAATTATCAAAAAAAAAGTAAATGTCTTAAAATGTGACCCCGGTGTACAATCAAACAGCCAAGTTCAGTACGGTAGGAATATAATAGGGTGGTGAAACTCACCCTGACGGATTATGTTCAAAAACCCTGAAGCTCCAGCAAATTAGTCTCAAATAGCTCAATAAGCTTCAATTTCTTATGGCTTTGGTTGAACTATAAATTATTCCAACCAAGCCTAAAAGCTGCAAGATGCGGTATCGGCCCCACACTAGATCAACCAACCACTCAAATGGATGTCCTGAGGTACTGCTGGATGCAGGTGGACCAGAACGGTGGATGTTCAACAATAATGGTCTTTCAGCTCAATATTCAGCCACAGATTTTACGTTATCGCTAGCGTAAAGTAGGTTGTAGCTACTGTATATTGCAGGTGATGGGGTGTGTCAGCAAGTAGTTTAGAAGTACAGGAGTTCCAGCTGCTACCTCAAGATCCAGAGCGTCATTGCCTAAAAAATATCATACATTATTAATCGGTTAATTTTGAATGAGCTGTTTGGAAAGTTTTATTGTTCGAAAAAGAAAGCTCAGGTCATTGACTTACAATTATATGGACGTCGGGTCCGCGCTAAAAAGTGTCCGAACTTAGAGGGCGTTAAAATTGTATACAGAGCGTCATTCACGCTTTAGTCTTCGTTAGTTCGACTGACAGCGAAGCAAGCAATATTAGACAGTACTGCGATGACATTACAATTTAAATTCAACGTTTTAGCTTTTTCATATTCCTTTACATGTCACTACGTTTGAATAGGTTGACTTGGGACATGTTTTTCGTGGTTTTTGTATTAGACCCGTCAATGTTACATTGACTAACATCAGGTCAATCAATCTTGCCATTATAATCATCACAAAATAAGTGGCACCTTTTGACACTTGTCATCGCAACGTAAATAGGGAAGTGAACTAAACATATCGGTAACCATATTAAACGATTCTCACGAGAAATCGATACGAAATTTTATGAGTCTGTGATAGTTGAGATTATTTTTCGGATCATTGGGTTTCAGTTCTAGATAGAGCAATTAAAGTCTGTTTAAACAATATATCACTTTTTTTTTTAAATTAGATGTTTGTAAAAAACAAATCATCGTCACATATGCCTTCCACTGGTGGGCACAACAACAAGGTTCTAAAATCTTTCTATATGTCACTAGCGGCTCAAAATGACGAAAGATCCAGTACAAAGATCTTTCTTTAAAACCTATTTGGACATACGGTTTTCAGCTGTGGGGTGTGGCTAGCAAGAGTAATAAATATACTTTGTCTCCAACGAGTGCTGAATTGTATCCTGTGGGCAATAGTCAATGCCCCTTGGTTCACTCGTAATGAAGAGATCCATGATCATCTAAACGTGATGTCGGTAGCTGCTGAGATCGACCGACACAAAACTAAGCACAATGAACGACTATCCTGCCACCCGAACCCACTCATCGCGACACTTCTAGATATTAGGGCCATATTCTAAAAAAAACAGCAGAATTTCAACGATTTGGTAACTTGACCCATAGCTCAGTTGGTAAGAGCAATAACTAAGGTGCAGTATGGTCCCGGATTCAAGTCCCATAAAGTTTATCTATTTGTTCGATCTTTGAATTAATAATCATAATAAATAAAAACTAATGGAGTTATATAAAAATTTTTGTCACCGGGAATACAACCTACCATCGGTCTCGGTGCAATCGTCTGAAGACACCGACATCATTGTGACTTCGCGTGTTTCGCGGCCTTCGATCAGCATGTCAGTGGAGGTGTTGTCTCCAGGCACCGTGTCCACGAACACCTGTAAATGTAATAATGCAATGTCACTGGAGGAGAAGCGGGGAAAAACTGTTTTGCTAGATTAAATGGCTTGGTTATTTACTATTAAATAACGATCTTACAAAAAATATACGATACACCTAAGGATTTTGTCTAAAGAATGTGCTAATTTGTTACACGATTGGATGTACTTTATCCGATCATATAAAAATAAAAGTGTAAAACGAATTATTTAAGAATAAAATATCTAACTTTATACGTAATTTTTATATGGAGACATTTATCTTTAAGTACTACAGAGAACTTGTTAAATTTTGGAATTCAACTGAAGCCCTGTAGACCGTCAGTCGCCATCAGGCGCTTGCCGATGTCGGATCTGTGTCAAATTTTCTCCGCCTATTCTTATTTTATTAGTGTGAATAAAATAAGAATTTTTAAGCGCGTGGGTTGCGGGACGCGAGGGGCAGTCCCCCACACCTCACCTCCTAAAATACACACTCAACAATAGCCCCGTACTACTGAAACCTTGTGTCGCGGGTGCCTTGGACACACACATAGACAACTACAAATTAAACCCAAACTCACGAGAGAAATAAACGTAGGCCACACAAGTATTTCTCCCGGCCCGGGAATCGAATCTGGGATCTCTGCTGGCCGAACTGCCACGGAGGCAATTACCTCCTAAAATGTAAGCTCTAACAAATAACACTTAAAATTGTAAAAAAACCCAATTAAAAACAGTTTTCCAAAACGTACAAAAAGTGCCTGTTAAAAAGTAATAGCAACCACTGTTCATGTATTTAAAACTATTTGAAAATTTAGGCGCTGTTGCCTTTCTTTAACTCCGATAGTTAGTGTTGTTGCTCGCTGACGCTGCCTGCGCCCGAACCTGTACTTAGTATAGTGTCTTAGGAATCTCATGAATAAGGACCACGAAATGGTTCTAACATATCGTGCAAAAATTCGACTTAAATGCGTTATCCCTTACTTAAGTTAATAATGTGGTTGGGTCATTATTTTACCTCATCATCGTCGTCCACTTCATCATCAAGCGGCTGCGGGGCGTTCACGACCTGCGGGACGAAGCGGGGGGCGTACTCCTCCTCAGAACTGTAGTCTTCTTCGCTCTCATCGCACTCGAAGTATCGGCTCTGGAAATAGCAGCAACTGTAGACTGTGGTAGTTAGGAGAACGCTTGCCTACTATGCAAAAGGACCTACAGGAAAGAAAGCTACAAAGTAGGTGTGTCGATCGTGATCGATCGAATCAAAATGATTCGATCAGCACCTGTGACCCTACAACCCGAGTTACAAGCTTTTAAATAACCCGATCATTTTAGAGTTTCATGGGTCATGCGCGCAGTATTCGACTTTATCACTATAATTTTAGAAATTATTCAGCAACTTCACTCTCACGTGAAATCTCGACTCACGACACGGTTCACCTTCTCACTCTTCTTTTGGGTCGAACAATTGTTCGATAGAATCTTCGTTCGATTGAACCAAAAATCGAACCGTCAAGCAATCGAGCAACGAGTGAACAGGCCAACGGGTTAACGGATCAATGAGTCTATCATGGTAATTTTGTAAGTGTACTCTGTTTTTTGGTATATTGTGTTTATTTATGAGTGCACTAGCTAATATTAATGAATAATATATTAGTAATTTTGAATGCTCATAAGTTTTTTGTTTTGTAGGTGTTAGTTTTAGTGTGGTTTGTCAAGGATTCATTTAAGTTTGAAAGGGTTGTAACCCTAACTAGCCGTGAACAGGTTCACGGCAATGAAATGGGAAACTTCCGGTCCACAAAATTTATTAAAGAAGTAAAGTTTAAAGAAAGGCTGTAACAATATAAAGGTAAATGTAAAAAAACAGGTATGACAGTATAAAACACTCCCTACACTTTATTATTAAGGCACTTACCCCTAAATGGGCCGAGAAATTTAATTACAGATTTAGGTACACGAGGGCTGTAGGCTTATAAATTATTACACATGATTTAGCTTATTAAATGATTACAAACGTAGTAAAGAACCAAAATTAGCGATTATTCGCGATGGAATTTAGAACAGCTTCGACTGTTGTGGCGGTCGAGCTGGGAGTGACCGTGGTACGAAAACAAAATGAGAAAGTGAAGGAAGATGGAACAATTCAAATTTAAAATTTAAATACATGTAAAATAAAAAATGATAGGATACAAGCGGAGAGAGGCGATACAAAGAGGTGAGATGACTGTGTAAGGAGATCACACCGTCACAAGTTTATACACATTACTCATCAGCAGGAAAGAATAAAAGCTAATTGTACAATTTGACACTTAAACGCCTTAATGGAAGTATTGTTAGCGACGAGTGACCCGCTAAAATATCGAACACATGATCTAATCATTTGACCCAATCACATTACGCATGGGTCATGATCGACCCGGGTTATCAAAAATGATCGACCGTCACAGGTTTCTACAAAGCCTTGAACATCGCCGTAAAGTTGCCTGCTTATCTCTTTTCTGCACAGGAGGATTAGACGTAGGCTACGGTTCGACCCCTACAAATTCAATTTCTTTATTGCGTATCATCTTGTACAAATGTAGTTGTTAAAAATAATGTTGTGATGAACCAAAACATGAACCCTGCAAGGGCACTGCAATCTTAAAATTAATTAATTTATTAACAAGCAAATAATTTTATAACATTGATCCTTATAGAATTGAAATAAAATTTAAATTACAAAATAATTAAATACTATAAAATTTGGCAAATTTGACAAATTAATTAAGTTATAAAATTAAAATTAAATTAGGTATACGAAAAATGATTAAATTTTGTCAAATAATAAACTTTAAATAAAAATTGGAAAAAAAAGGATCACAATCGTCAACACAGATAAAATAATAATCTACATTAATTATTTAAATATTCCTGAAGCGAATAGAAACATTTTTTAATGAGGTACTTTTTTAACGTTTTTTTAAATTTGATTACATTTCCTTCTTCTTTAATATTATTGGGTAAATTATTATAAATTTTCACCAACATTGCTAAAGGGCCACTTCGAAACATTTCAATTTTACATATGGGCTTGGCAAGCTGTATTTTTGGTCTTAAGTTTTGTGGGCGGGAGTGGTATGGAAAGAGATTTGGGTGCTTTCTAACAAAATCACAAGCCGCATAAATATAAAGGGAAGGAAGAGTTAATATTTCATACTCTGAGAAGTATGGTTTACAGCTATCTGTTACTTTTATATTAGCAAGCAGCCTTATGCACCTCTTTTGTGACCGGAAGAGCTTCGTTACATCTGTACTGGAACCCCGCAACACTATTCCATATGTCAGCCAAGCGTGTGCATAGGCAAAATAAGCGCTCCTAGCTGATTTTAAGTCTGTTAATTTTTTTAGTTCGCGTAATGCATAAGAAAATCTTGACATCTTCATGGCAACTTTATTTATGTGTTCTTTCCAATTTACATTTGAATCAATAGATATTCCCAGAAGAGGGTACGTATCAACTTGTTCTAATTGGATGTTATTAAATTTATAATTAATATTTAAAGACCTTCTTTGATGTGGCCTAAATTCCATTAATTTCGTTTTTGTAAAATAAACCGTTAAATTATGATAATTTAACCAAGAGATTATTTCTGACAACGTACAATTTAATTTATTAGTTAAATTTACATTATTTTGACATGGGACAACTATAGATATGTCATCTGTAAATAGGGAACATGGTCAATCGATTACTTTGGGCAAATCGTTTATATAAATTAAAAATAGCACGCATCCGAGAACGCTGCCTTGGGGGATCGACATCGTCACTTCCGCCTTTTTCGATCTGATAGTGGTTGTATTACCGGAAACGTTGTGAATATACCAATTATAATTTGGTAATAGCGTAACGCTTTAACACATTACATAACATTTAAGTAGGTACGGCGTACGGCTATGGAGTAGACGTCCCTGCCTGCAAATTTATTCACCCTGACGAACCTAAACTGAAATCATGAAAAAAACTATTTCTGACGAAACTGGAATATGACGGGATGTCTACTAAATCGTTTATTCGACACTTATTTCATCGCGCTCACGCTGCACGGCTGCCTCTAGCTTAATTGAGCGTCCCGACTTGTTTTTTTTTTGGTCCGCGCGGCCGCGTGGTTGTATTATTCCGAGGAATTTAAATGTTATTGCCTAGTTTGTTATAATTATTAATACAAAGATCGAACACTCAGAAAAAATTCCTTCGATCCGGTCGGATTCGAACCGACGTCTTCTTGCATATCGTGCCAGACGCTATACCAACTAAGCCACGGAACGAACCAACGGACCTCACGAATTTTTCTATGTGCTTGCGTCGTGTCTTTGTACTTGGTCTTTCAACGACTTTTTAGTCTATTATTGTTATTGCCTAGTAAATAGAATTCATATTCGCCATTAATGGACGTGGAAGCGCGGTAAATGGTTACTCGCCGCTAGAAAACTTTCGCGTCACATAATTGGGCGCTACTAGGGTTTATTTAGGTGTGCATGCTCTATGGTCTCATTGTCACTTTCCATAAGATAAGATGGAGGTCAAATGCGCATACTTTTACCATAAAAAGTGTTCCGGTTTTGAAGGGTAAGGTTGCTGGTGAAATAACAGGCACATGGGACTTGTCAACTTATGGCTCAGGGTGAGGGGCGCAGTAACATTGTCCCTAAGAGCTTTGCGATTTAAAGCTCTGGGTGGCACTGCAACTGTTATGTATAGGCTTGTCGTTTACCACCAGACGCACGACCTCACTTAGGTATTATAAGAATCTCAGTACAGAGTACTAAAAAAACCCACCTCAGAAGGTCGTGGAATTACATCTATTTGCCGAGTTTTATTGAATCGGTTACCGGAAAGTGCGCCAGTAGTTTGCCAGTGGAATATTTTCTTCAAATTACGGACCACCGCCGAGGTACCCTCTTTTCAACAAAAAAAAATCATCAAAATCTGTTCACAAATGCCGTTAGAGAGTTATCGTGTAACATACATACAAAGATATAAAAACACAGTCTAATTAAGAACCTCCTCCTTTTTTTGAAGTCGGTTAAAAAATAAAAGAAAGTCCCGAGCTCTATTCCCACCGGAGAATGTGTACTTCAGTTTACGTCATCGTCCTTATTTCAGTCAAAAGACGTCCACTGCTAGACGTACTTTTTCTCCAAAACTCGCAAAAACCAGACTTGCCCTGCTGGCGTGTAGCGGAATCCGCCTTCGCCAGGATGTCGATCACCTTGGGGGTGGTTTACTTATTAGGTAAGTACTTGGGAAAATGGCGAAGCACCATAGGTGTGTTATATTCAGATGTCAAAAACACATTTTTACACACATACAAAAGTCAGCTGCTGTTAGCTGTAAGGCCGAATGAAGAAATAGATTTCTCACAAATGGCGCTACGGAAAAAAAGTCGTTGAAAAACAAAATACAAAGATACGACAACAATCACATAGAAAAATTCGTGAGGTCCGCTGGTTCGTTCCGTGGCTTAATTGGCATAGCGTCTGACACGATTTGCTAGATGACGTGGTTCTGATCCAGTCGAATCCAAGAAAGTTTTTCTAAGTGTTCGCATTAAATAACTTAAAAATTAAGTACATTAAATTAAAAATAACACCAAATCAATGTTTATTTGTGAGAAACGAGCGAGTTATTACTTCATTATTACACTGTATTGGCTTGAGATGAGGTATATCGATAAAAAGTTATCGATAATTTAATAAAAAATTGCATGTATTCATTCTTCAAGCGTGAATTTTAGTTATAGGCAACTAACATGTCAATGTTATTACTTTTTGAAACCCATAAATTAATGATGTTTTTAGAAATTTACTAAAATATCAATGCATTTGAATTATACTTGTGTTTTATGCCTTTAACATAATACAAAACAGTCCACACACCTATATTGTTCAGAATACGTCAGAAAAATAAAACTATAAGAGAGAACCTTTGTTTCAAAATTCAAACACGCTTAAAATCTATCGAGTTTAACTCATCCCTATTCAAACTTCATTATTCTATGGACAGTATAAAATAAGCTATTTCTATTGCCAATTAAAGTTTGTAAACGCGTCGTTGGTCTTATGTCGACCAAGAAAAACATCCGATTATTCAAATATTAACTTAATATTCAAAGCGTTCAAGGTACATTTTTAAACGTAGCGAACTGATAAACATTAAACGCGATCGTCAATATTACCCGCGAATAGTTCCGAAGCTCAGACTTTAGATAACAATAAGACGACGCCTAGACGATAAATATTTAAACAAAGTAAGAAAACGTGTCACGTGATTGCCATGCGCGTGGCTTAAATAGGTCAACGATAAAACACAAAACAAATAATCACCTACTTATGAAATTAATTAAGATAATTATGATATCGTATTGTTTAGCTTTACTCGTCATTTATTTTGATTGTATACAAAATCGATGTTAACAATGAAAATAACTAACAGTTCATTCTTTATGTGGTATATTGAAATTTCGCGGGAAAATATTAGTCCGATTTTTTGTCTTATTGGTATTTATGTATCTTTGGCATTACGTTCCTATTTACACAGAAACTTCTTTTCAGACGTGAAGACATTTCTACGGCTCGCATGCATGCACTGCACTAGGTATCTTTACGTCGAGGTATTTAATATAACGGTCGTGACGTTAAAGACTCATTTCAGGTCATCCCTGTTTAATGTTACATAATATTAGAATTTATTTCTCTCAACTTCAAAAAACAACTTGGGAATAATACGGAAGGATAGATAGGAGAAATAATTCGGGAATTTCGTAGACATTTAGCTGGTGTCAAAAAAAAAATTACAGCAAAAATGTTGCACGTTAACAATGAAAATAAAATCTTTCCATTTTAATATTTCTTACAAACAAAGAACGGAACGTACCATTCCAGTTCTGCCAACACAAAAAACAAAATCTTTAACAAACGTCAAACTGAAAATGACGAACAATATTTTTCTCGGAATTTTATCACTAAATTATCATAACAAACGATTTCCTGAGCAACACGAGACGTGCACAGTGAATTCCTAAAACCCACGCGTATAATACGTATAATTGGTTCAATGTCGCCACTTGGACAAAATTACAAGTGATTAAAGTGTTACAAAGACCTTGTAGAATTCCTTTGTGCTAAATTGAGTTATTTAAAGTGAATTAATGACAATGGCGGGTGTTTTAGCTAATGATTCGCCTAAATATCGAAACAGTTTGATATGCTGCAGTCCACGGACCGCGGAAATTGGCTCCAGCCCTCCGTCTTCCTCATCAACTTCAGGGTGTGTCTCAGCGGACGACAGCTATGATTCCAGTTATATACCGAAGTCTATAGCTAATAAAAAGTTGAAAATACACGCATCCGCAACAAAGGAAGAGGTGGAAAGGGCAATTTTGCAATGTAAGGAGCTCATACTGAGTAGCCCACAATGCTCTGACGAAAGGAAATGGTTAGTACGCTATCTAATAGAGCTGCGACTGCATTTGCAGGATTTGAAGGACAACAATGGGCAAATAAGACTTGCAGTAAGCCTTAAAGGCCACCATTTTGAACAACAAACAAGTACAGGTAATAGAAAGCAGTATTGTGACCATTGCAGTGGAGTCATATGGAGCATAGTACAGGGATCTTACATTTGTACAGATTGTAAATATATATGCCATTATAAATGCATTGATGATGTGTGTAGGGTGTGTGCTCATGTCATTATGACAGAAAAGGGACAGTTCGAAATGAATATATGCCCGGAAAAGGGACTTGCCAGTCAGGATTATAAATGTGCGGAATGTCACACGGCACTCACTTTTAAAGATGCATGGAATGAACCTAGGTTGTGTGACTATACAGGCTTATATTTCTGTACTACATGTCACTGGAATGACCAAAGTGCAATACCAGCCAGAGTCGTACATAATTGGGATTGGGAAAAGCATTACGTTTCGCGGATAGCTTTTCAAATGTTAACGATATCCTGGAATCGCCCGTACATAGATATAGAGCGGATAAATCCACGTTTATTTAATTTTATTGCTGAGTTGGAATGGGTACAGAAAATGAGACGGGATCTTGAATGGATGAGACGTTATTTGTGTGCTTGTAGTAATGGACCCAGTTTGTTACATCCCTTATTTATACAATTAGGGGATGTAAACAAAAAGTACAGTATGGCACATTTACAAGCAATTAACGATGGAACATTAGAAACTCAGCTAAGGGAATTAACGGAGGTATGTCGTTCTCATATTACAAACTGTCCTCTGTGTTCCGGGAAAGGCTACTTATGTGAAGTCTGTATGAATAACGAGGTTTTATATCCGTTTGATTCGGGAGCAATCATGTGTGAAAAATGTAACTCGATGTACCACAGAGGTTGTTGGTTGAGGAAAAGACAGAAGTGTTTAAAATGCTTGCGGATTGAAGAACGGAAGAGAAGTGGTAATGACACGGATACAGCAGATGCTAATAATTTTGAATATGACATTGATAAGTTTGTTGATTAAAAAGTATTTGTACCTGATTTCTTTTTAGTCATATGCTTGGCTAGTTAACATTTTGTGCTATATTTCTTACTTTTGATGCCATCAAAAATCTGTACAGAAGCGAACATTTCGGGGTCCAAAAGGAACTTGTCTGGTTTTTTGTGTTTTCATTATGCAAGTAATTTATATTTACGTTTTTTGCATTGAGAAGTATACAAACATTTTTTTAATCATTGTAACCAAATTAGGCTAGTAAGAAAATAAAATTTTCAATCATTCTAATTTGTTTTTGTTTGTTAAAGCATTTTTTTACTTAATGTCAAAACCTACGGTTAATGTTACAAACAAAGATCATATTACCAAATCAAGATGCTCAACTTGCATGCGAGTTACTTGCAAAATGAAAAACTTTTATATTGTTAAAATGTGAAAAATATTATTGTTCAAAGTTTTCAAATTTAATGATCTGTTTCTATTATATTTGTCATGGACCACTAAATTCATATTATTCTGCGTGTCTGCAGTTAATGCGTGCAGTTGTAATCAACTTCATGACTTCACTCGACTGATGAAGTTGGTAACGATTTCACGCATTAACTGCATGAAATACGTTTCGACTTCGAGCAGTTAATGAGTGTAAAGTCGCTATCCGAGACCTCGACTGCATGAAGTTGATATCAATTTCTCGCATTAACTGCGTGAAGTCGGTTTCGACTCGAGACCGACTTCATGCAGTTAATTGAACCAACTTCATGCAGTCGAGGTTTCGGCGGCATGAAGTCAATCAATCTGTTAGTAGCCTAATGAATTTTAGTCAGCTGTATTGTAATTAAATTAGGTACCTTTATTTTAACTCGTAAATGGCAAATTTTATCTTAAATAAAAAAAATAGAATATCAACTCGAGTCTTATTATAGTATTTTAATATTATCAAGTTGTTTTATTACCTCCATGTCTCATTTTCGACGTAAATGTGGCATGGTTCTTTGAAACTCACTAACCTAAGTTTATTTATGCCATGTAAGTTTGACTGCATGTTATAAAATATATTTTGTAATTGTTAAGAAAATTTTAAATATAGAAATGGTGCTGTAAATTTCATGAAAAAGCTTTAAAAAAAAATCAGCTGTCTTCAATAATTATATACGTGAGTAATGTATAAAATATTATAAAACAATTGTGTAAATAAACAATTATGCCTTATTATTACATTCTGAAACATGTTTTAATTTTAAATAGGGCATTTTGTTCCGTGATTTTGTATTTTTAAAGGTTTTAAGTATTAACTTTAGTACATAATAGCATGTTGACTTTAATATATAACAATATACTGACTTGTAAATGACCTTGTCGTTTTTATTTACATACTTTGCAACAGGATTTTTTTCAATAGTAACTTAGTAGCACAGCAAAAAAAAGACGGCTGTTCCTTACCGGCTCAAGCCGATATTGTGCATTAACATGCTTAGTGCCACATTTTATTTATTAATTCAAAATCATCGTTTACGTAAAAACTCGTGACTCATGTAAATACATATACCTATTATGTCCCTTTCGATTGCACACGTATCAAAATAACATTAGTTCGAAAACAATAACGCCTACGTCTTTTGTTTCAAGTTCAAAACAGGTTGTTGACTGTAGAATAACCACATGGGAAACGATGCGTCCGAGCAATTTGTGGACTATAGTTATAATTTTTTCGTACCTTGGGTATAATAAACCCACATGTCATCGTCTGTGAAATTCTTTTAATATAGGTATGAGAGTAGTCTAGCACAGACATAGCAACTTTGTCCGCGGACTGCGCAGGTCGTGCTTGGCCAATAAAATAAATAATCTCAGTGCAGAGTACTAAAAAAATCGGTTACCGGAAAATGCGCGAAATCGGAAGCATCCCCTAGTTTGCCTCCCTTAGAGGTGGAATATTTATTTCAAACTTAAAAGGGGGTAATACTGAGGTACCCTCTTTCCAACAAAAAAGAATCATCAAAATCGGTTCACAAACAAAAAAGCACATACACTCGAACGAACCACGCAGAGGTCCCGGGCCGGGAGAAATGTTTGTGTGGTCTACGTTTATTTCTCTCGTGAGTTTGGGTGTAATTTGTCGTTGTCTATGTGTGTGTCCATGGCACCCGCTACACAGGGTTTCCCTAGTGCGGTGCTATGAGTGTAAAAAACGAAAAACAACAGGGCTTACATACACAGAAAACAAATTCAGTCGAATTGAGTACATCCTCTTTCAGAAGCAGTCCTACTTCATCTTTCTTATATAACCCCTATATTATATATGTATATTACTCCTCATCTCCGTCACTGGCGCCACTTTCAAACTTCCCCTGATGCACTCATTCCTTATCTTATTCTTTCTCGTCACTCCACACAACCATCTCAACATTCGTTTTCATTTGATTCATTTTCGCTGCATGCACAGTTTCTTCATCCTCCCTTTTCATCGCTCGACATTCTTGGTTGAAATGTGCTATTGTTACTTTCAAATATAATATTCCTTTCTTGTCTTAAATAAAAAGATTTTTTTTAAACCCTTAAATGGTCGGTATCTATGCAATTTTCGTGATCCTGACCATAATTGCAAAGTGTTTGCAGGGCAATGAAGTTTTTTTATGTTAGAACCAATAAACAAATGATATTGATAACCCAGAAACAAAAATCGTGTTACATGGTGTTATCTGTCTAACTTTTGCTGTGGTGTGGCGCATATTGTAACTTGTAACCACCACGATCTATTTTGGAGCGAATCGCTGCCGATCATGCAGTGAGACCATACGTCGAAATCATACGATAGATGACGTGTCGGCGCTCGCGCACCGCGTCGGAACGCGTCACACCAACGATACCTGCAATGCGTCTCTTGCTCCCGAAACTGTTTATACCTTATCCATTTTTTAATCTATATTAGAAACATCGGAAATGTTAAAGTTTGCAATGGAAATGTAACTAATTGTAATTTCAATTATTTTTTGTGAAATTACTCCACTACTTTGTTATAATTATTAATACAAAGATCGAACACTCCGCGGCGTCTCTAGTCAGCTGCTGGTAGCTGTAACGGTACCAGGCTGAGTGAATAAATAGATTTAAAAACCAAAAAACAGATCTGCAACAAGCGCACAGAAAGATTCGTAAGGTCCGTTGATTTGTTCCGTGGCTTAGTTGGCTAGAAGACGCTAGTTCGAATCCCGGATTTTTTTCTAGGTTTCAATCTTTGCATTGATAATTATAATTTAACCATAATTCAGGTTCTGAAACGAGCATATTTGTGTTTTCAAACAAACCAACGTTTCGGGCCGTTTACAGGTCGCAAGGTCACGGCTGACGGAGTGTAATCAACCAGATATGTGTAATATTAATGCAAACCACCTTTTTCTGAAGTATAGTTACAAAGCCGTTTGCCCTAGACTGATCGAAGGAATTTTCTTTGTGTTTTTGCGATCTTTGTATTATCTATAACAAACTGTATTAGTAGTAGAGCTCCTCCCACCTTACTTATTTCTGCCGTCTAGCAGTAATGTAACCATTACTGCGTTCCGGATTTGAAGGGTGCTGGTGAAATTACAGGCGCATGGGACTGTCAACTTATGTCTCAAGGTGACGGGCGCAGTGGGAGTGCCTCTAAGATCTTCCCATCATATTTTACTTTCTAACAAAAATAAATATACATAAATAGATTGCTCTAAATGGTAATAATTCTGTGCAGGGCGGGGGTGGAAGACCTCGCGGAGGACGCTTGCACGTTTGAATTTTCCTTATTACAAATACAAATCTAAAAAATGTCAGTAAAATCAACTAGTCCAATCATTGACTTACAATTATATGGACGACGGGTCTAATACAAAAACCACGAAAAAAATGTCCCAAGTCAACCTATTTAAACGTAGTGACATGTAAAGGAATTTGAAAAAGCTAAAACGTTGAATTTAAATTGTAATGTCATCGCAGTACTGTCTAAT